TGTCCAGGTCCGGTGATGTCCAGGTCCGGTGATGTCCAGGTCAGTTGAGGCCCAGGTCAGGTGAGGTGCAGTCCAGGCAAGGCACAGGTCCGGTGGTGTCCAGGTCAGTTGAGGCCCAAGTCAGGTGAAGTGCAGTCCAGGTCAGGTGAGGTGCAGTCCAGGTAAGGCACAGTTCCGGTGATGTCCAGGTCAGGTGAGGCCCAGGTCAGGTGATGTCCAGGTCAGGTGAGGCCCAGGTTGGGTGATATCCAGGTCAGGTGAGGCCCAGGCCAGGTGAGCTTCAGGCCAGGTGAGGCCCATGTCGGGTGAGGCCCAGGCCAGGTGAAGTCCAGGCCAAGTGAGGTCAAGGCCAGGTGAGGTCCAGACCAGGTGATGTCCAGGGCAGGGGAGGCCCAGGTCAGGTGATGTCCAGGGCAGGGGAGACCCAGGTCAGGTGATGTCCAGGCTAGGTGAGGCCCAGGTCAGGGGAGGCCCAGGTCAGGGGAGGCCCAGGTCAGGTGATGTTCAGGGCAGAGGAGGCCCGGGTCAGCAGAGGCTCAGGTGGATGGATGTGCCAGGCTTCTGTGGTTTTCTCCCGGTGCCAACCCAGCTTGGTGTCCCTGCCCCTCCTCCCAGCCCCCTCTCTGCCTGCCCATTGGCGGTCCCTGCATGGGTGGTGCTGGCTGTGGAGAGGCTGGGCTCTGCCTCCCTGTGCATGGGTGTCCCTCTGGGCCCTGGCCTGGAGTGTGGCCGAGTTGCTTCTCTCAGCCGGAATGCACCGACTGTGCCGTCCTCGGTGATCTGCGGCTCCGTGCTTGCTCCACATCAGGCCCCAGGAGCTGCTAGAAGGGTGCCTGCCACCTGTCCGGGGATGCCAGGGAGGTGAGTGCCCCCACACGTCAGGCCTTTTTCTCTTACAGTCGTTTCTTTGGGGAGCATCATGGATGCCTCCTACACTACATATGTGTCTGTATCATCGTGCAGTGGCCTGTGTCAGCATCACTCATCCAGCCTGGGTTCATGTCTTTGCTATTGTGAGCAGGGCTGGAGTGAGAATTTTCCAAACACAGCCGTATGCGTTTTCCTCTTCTTGCGTTTTAGAGGTTGAACTGCTCTTTCCAGTGTGCTGTGATGTATTTGTTCTGCTCCGTTCTGTTAGACTTGCCAACCCTGGGAGTCTCAGTTCACACCCTCTTCCTTCCCCAGGAGGAATAACCACTACTGTGTTTATGTGACCGTTGTTTTCTTTGTGGTTTTCTAGCTGGGAAATGTATCCCTTAAGAAGGCAGTTCATTTTGGTGGGTGTAAATTTTCTTTAGGAGAAATCATATTGAAAATATTTTTGGGACTTTCTTCTGTTTCTCCAGTTACTCAGCATTGTCATGAACTCACCAGCCCATGGGCGGCTCCTGGGGCTCTGCTCTGGACCTGTCGTCTGGTGGAGCCCAGGCCTCCCAGGGACGCAGGGCAGCCGGGCTGGAGCAGCCTGAGGGGCAGTTAGGGTGGCGCTGGAGCCACTGCCTCCACCTGTGACCAGCTGCTTCGGGGATCTGGGCATGAGGCCCCTTCTCCCAGGAGGGGAGGTGCGTGAGTGAGACCCTAAGTCCATACCCCACGGGGGGCTCTGACCCTCCTCAGAGGGGCTGGGCAGGGGCGGGGGTGGGTGTGTGCAGGTGGGTGTGGGGGTGGGGAGCCCAGCCTGTCCCCGATGCACCTGCTGTACTCCAGGGTGGGCTTTGGCACTGCAGGACCCAAGCTGGGTCTGGGCTGCCTGGTGTACCCAAGGTGGGCGCATTCCCAGAGCCTAGACTGAGGCCCAGTGGGGACCAGGGAGGACTCTGACCAGGGCTCCACGGAGGACCTGTCTTGGATGACGCCCACATCTTGGGGTGGACATGGGGTCCAGCTGGGAAGAAGGGGCATGGTCCACCTCCCGGGGGTCTTCCCGGGGCCACCTCTGCCTGGGGGCTCTGTGCGTGGCCACCTGCCAGAAGTTCCTCCCTGCCCAGGCCCCAAAGTCTGTGCTGCCCCAGAGCAGGAAGGAAAGGTCTGTGGCTGGTGCACATCGGGGCCCACTGTGGTGTCCCCACAAACGCTCCCCTGCAGCAGACCCTGAGTGAGGGACAGGGACAGGGGCAAGTCTTGGGTCCTCGTGGACTCCAGGGCTGATTCCAGTGGGGAGCCACCAGGGTGGGGGTGGGAGTATTGGGGTGTCTGTGCTCTTGGAGTGGGTTCTGGATGTGGGTTTGTGCCGGTGCTGCCTGGGGTGATGTTGGAAGGTGCCGCTGACCCCTGTTTCCCTGAGGGGCGCTTGTCAGTGTTATCGTCAGTTCCCGCCAGGGACCAGGGAGGTAGGATGGGATCCAGCCCCTTCCCTGACCCGCCAGAGCCCCTGGCCCAGCCCCTGTCTTCACCTTTCAGTGGGAACTCCATGGTGCTTTGGGTGTGGGGGTCCCGGGAGCTGAGCAGGACTGGGTTTGGGGTGACTGCTCCCTCTCTGGCTGGGCCTCTGGCCTTGGCCAGTAGACAGTTTTGGATGCAGCTTTTCTCACGGTGGTAGTTCCCAGCATACCCACCGTGACTTGGGGCTGTTCAGAATCCGCCCAGGTGCCCTGAGTTCTGCGGCCTCCTGGGTAGGGGCCGGGCTGCTGGGCGGGGTCTCCTTCGGAGGCCCTAGGGGCTGTGGCTGGTTTTAGGTGTGAGGTGAGCACTGGGACCCCCAGCTAGCAGAACACCCGCAGAGCCTGAGGCCTGCACACTCTCCACCCCGGTGTGTGGGGTGGGCCCAGGCTCCTCTGGGCAGGTCAGCTTCAACGCGAAGGGTGCTGGGGTCCCGCTGGTTTTCCTTTGGATTAACGGGGCTCATCTCCTGGCCCCAGACTCCCTCTGGCTGCCCCTGTCCCTCCAGCAATGCAGGCCACGGCAGGTCCCCCTGCAGGGAGGCGTGTTCTGGCCTGGGCGTCCATGGTGGCACCTCAGATCCTCAATGGGTGCTCTGGGTGGAGCAGGACAGCAAGTGAGCCAGGACCCACCCTGTCTGTGGGCATTTTTGCTGCAGCAACTGTGGGAGCTGACCATGCTTTCAGCTGCACCGAGCTCATCCTCATAGTCAAGGCTTTCTCAGAGTTTCATTGTGATGGCGCTGTTACATGGTGCCATGGCCCTGCTTCCTCAGGGTTTTCTGGTGAGTCCCGGATTTCCCTCGGAGGCCAGGAGAGGAGAGCAGAGGGAGGAGGAAGGGAAGAGCTGGGTCCTTCGGAAGGGGGTGCTTGGGTTGAGGGTCTTTGGAGAGAAGATCTGGGCTCCTGGAGACCACCCAGCAACCATCCTCCCTGTTCACATCCTGAGGGTCCCAGCAGGAGCCAGGTGAGGAGACCGTGAGGAGCAGGCCTGTGTCCTGTCTTCCCTGGGCCGTGAGACAGGGTGGAGGCTGAGCACACCTTTCCCAGGGCAAAGCAGAACAGCACCTACGGTGTGGGGGGTGCCCAGCATGGGGGCTGGGCTGTGGGGTGCAGGGCAGGGGATGGGCATAGGAGGGCGATGGCCCCGTCACCCCTGCAGTCACACTCTTTCTTGTCCTGGGCACCTGCACTAGACCTCGGCCTGGAGCGGCGGCTTCCTGGCCTGCAGTGTCCCTGGAGTCTGCTCGAGCTCTGGAGCCGGGCATGGGAGGCCAGCAGCTTCCCAGGACAGCAGGAGGGCCCAGGCCAGTGCTTGGCAGACTGCCCCGGGAGAAGGGTCCCGGGTGGGGGGATCATGATTTCCAGAAGGGTCTGTGGCTCTGAGTGTGTAAGTCTGTCCGAACTGTCCATGAGGTGTGGTCAGGGAAACACAGGCAGATTTTACTTCAGGCAGAGGAAACTGGGTTTTGACTCTAACTTCCTGCCGACTCCAGGGCAACGAGCCAAGCCCCGTTATCACCTGTGCAGAGGCGACAGCCTGGTAAAGGGAGGTGGCGGCGGGAGCAGGGAGGGCGCTCGGGGCTCAGTCGTCGGGGAAGGGAGAAGTTGCCCGGCGCTGGTCAGCGTCCCTGGGATTGGCCCCATGTGTCTGCATCGGCCACTGTTGAGGTCAGGATTCTGTCCTCCAGAGCCTGGAGAACCGGCCCCTCCTTCCCGCTGAGGACACTTCAAGGGAGCGGCTCTCAGGTCCCGAGGAAGACCCTCCTGGCCACAGGAGACGCGCAGACATCGGGAATGGACAGAAGGACGTGTGGCTGCAGCACTTTCAGCAGACGCTCTGAGAAAGGGAGGTCGGGGATGGAGCAGACGGCTGGCTCTGGTGCGCCGAGCTTTCTGGGGCAGATGTTGGCGGGGCAGGGGTCGGCCTAGGAGTGCGGCCTGAAGCCAGGAAGCCTTGCTGGGGTCTGGCTGTCTGTTCGTGCTGGGGGGTGGGGGGCACCCTCACAATAGAACACTGGGGGGCCTTGGGAGACCATCCCTGCAGCAGTGGGCTGTGCTCTGAGGACAGGGGACGAGGCCCCCCGCTGTCTCTCAGTGCAGGGTGGTGAGTTATCTGCACGGACTGGCCAGGGCTCCCTCAGGGCACATGCTTCCCCTCTAGGCCTCTCTCCATGGTGTCCAGGGCAGCTCCTGGGGCCTTGGTGCCAACAGCTGAGGTCAGTCTTCCAGGGTCCTACCCTTCCTGATGCTTGGTGCTTGGGGCTCTGGAGGGAGCCCAGGCCTTGGCCTCTCCTGCACTGCCTGGGGCTGTGGTCCTGCGGGGCCTTGAGGGGACCCCAGGTCTCCAGCTTTGGCCCTGTGAAGTCAGATGGCGGCTGGGCTCCAGCATCCTGCCGCCAGGTTTGGTTCCTAAATGACAGGGAGGCAGACTCTGGTTGAGCTCAGGACCTATCCCCAGGCTCTGCACCAGGGCAGGGTCCCCCAGCAGAGGCTGTGTGGGGCTGGGCAGGGTTCCCATGTTGTGGGGAGTTCCCTGGACTGGAGACTCAGACCTCAGCCTCCTTGAGGATGAATGATGTGCCTTGTGGCTGTCTTGGCCCAGACCACCAGGTGACTTCTTCCCCTGCCCCTCTTCAGACAGGGCCTCAGACCTAGGGCAGGAGCAATCCCTGCCCCAGACCTCCTGGGTCACAGCTAATGCACAGACATCAGGAACGGACAGAGGAAGGGCGTGGGGTTGCAGCCCTCTCTGCAGGTGCCCTGAGACGGGAGGTAGGAGCACCCTTGCTGTGGTTTGAATGCTTCTCCCCTTGAAAGGTCATGTTGAAATTTCATTGCCATTGTCACAGTATGAAGAGGTGATTAGGTCATGGGGGCCCCACCTCGTGGATGGGATTGGTGCTGTTATAAAAGGGTGAGTCCCCCCTCTTGCTCTGTTTCTTGCCCTCCTCCATGTGATGACCCAGCAAGAAGGTCCTTGCCAGGTGCTGCTGGACTTGCTCTTGGACTTCCTCTTGCTCCTGGACTTGCCCTGCCACCTTGCACTTGGACTTCTCAGCCTCCAGAACTGTGAGAAATAAATTTCTGTTTAGTATAAATTATCCAGTCTTAGGCATTCTGTTATAACAGCACAAAACAGACTAAAACAACCTGTTCAGACCTAAGGTGAGATAACCCCTGCCCATATCTAAGGATCCCCTGCTCCAGACCTCGGTGGTAAGGTGAAAACAGGACTCCCTCTGAGGGAAATCCCAACAGCAATGCCCGGGAAGGCATCTGTAGGGCCCAGCAGGCCAGGGGAGGCCCGGGACACACCTACACCATCTCTCATAAAACCCCTCCGTTCTGTTATAACAGGAGCATATGGTTATAGCATAGTTTAAAAATTAAACCAAAACTGAAAGTAAGCATTGATTAATCCATGGACTCCTTTTCACAGTTTGGTGTTTGTGTTTACACCACAGTCATGTCACCATGTGTGTTGAGCTTTGTACCCTGTTACCAAATGAGGTCACCCCGTGAATGCTGCAACGTTATCACAGATACTCGGTAAGTGTGATTAGGAATGTCTGCAGAATCGGCCCACGAATGTACCACCATAGTTTCTTCAGGCGCAAGCTTGCTTTCAGCTATTTTATAATTATAAATAACGCTCTGAAGAATGTCTGTTCACAAAGCGTTTTCCTTATGTGTGCTATCCATTGGTTTTCTTTTGGAAATTGTGTTACATTCTTTGCCTATTCTTAAGGGATTTGCTCTTTTTCTTACCAGCTTATGTATGTTGTTTGCATAACAATGGTATAAGACCTTTACATATTAGATTAACCATTTGAGTTTATTATTTACTCTTAGGTTTTGATGGTTTTTAAATGCAAGGAATCTGTAAAAGTGTTACCTAGCTTCATGACTGGGTTTGCAGTGAAGCCTGCCTAACTTTGGGCAGCTGTCTGGGTCTGTGTTTCCAGAACTTGATGGAGTCTCTGCTTTCCTCTGGAGGGCTGGTGTGATATCAGTGTTCTCTGTCCAGGTCTGGGTACCCTCCTGGGGCTGGGCTTGGGCTGGGCTCGGGCTGGGCTCTTAAATGTCAAAGGAATTGAGACTCTTAAGTGAGTCTTTCCATTTCTGTTGAGATGATCATGGGTCACCACTGGCCTGAATGGTGGGATGAGCTATAAACAGCTCTTAATTCCTGGTGTAAGTCCTTCTTCAACGAGATGGATGGAATTTGGCTTTCTAGGGTGTTGTTTATAATATTTGGCTCTTTGCTGAAATGCAAATTTGCCCATGTTTTACACTGGGGGCTGTGGAGTATGATCCCTTTAATGAACTTTTCCATGTTCCACTGAATCCTGGAAGAGTTCTTATGGGAATTGGTAAGTTTTGTGGAAGTCTGCCATCTGGGCCTGAAGTCATCTGTGAGGGCAATTATTTAATAATCTTAATGCTTTCTTGAGGATTATTGTTCCAATTATGATTTCTATTTCTTCTTGAGTCATTTTAAGTCTTATTGCTAGAAAAGAAAAATACCAACTTGCCATCATCTCTGCTGTCACTATTTTGTGCTCAACAATTGCCTTCTGTATCTGCTGTGTCCTCCCCAGCATAGGAGCTGCACTCTCATTAAACAAAGCAATGTATCCAGATCACTCAGAATCTGTGCCTGCCACAGGGAGCAGGAGGTCAGGGCAAATGAAGAGCCACGGCATGGCAGGGGAGCCTCTGCAAGGATGCCGAGCCTTGTGTGGACAGAGTTGCTGTAGGCAGGCTGCCATGGAACCTTGCCAGGGAAGCAGCGCCTCTCGGGGATGGCAGTGAAGATGCGACAAGAGGGTGCATTACCTCCAGATGGAAGATGCAGTGCTTGCTTTGCTCCTTGGTGCTTGGAGAGGGAAAGGGATGTTGCCATAAAGTTCCTGGATGGACTCTGGCTCGATCAGGCATGGGCATCTTTGGGAGTATGAGGGTGGGTGGCTTTGTGCACATCTTCCATGAGGAGCTGTCAGTATTGGGGCAGACATTTTAAGTATGACAGACAAAGGATGTTCTGCATGGGGAAATGTGGTGACACCATTTCACAAGGACGGCTCAGAGACCGAGTGCTCAGGAAGGACCGGCCCCAGACCCAGCACCTGATGTGTATCATCTCATTTAATCCTCGCCTCCGATGCAAGAGGAAGCCATCACCACCATCATCACCATCATCATCATCCTCCTGTGCAGATGGAGAGGAGGCATAGAGAGGCGATAGAGTCTGCCTCGGACTGCCAGCCAGTTGGTGGCAGAGCTAGGGTTCCGATGGAATGAATGTTGTCACCCTCAGACGGCAGGGTAGGCAGGTGGCTAGAGCTCACCCTGGGAGAAGGGGAAAGGACACCGACTTTGGGTAGGGATGGAGCAGGGCTTGGGCTGGCTTTCCATGCATGGGCAGCAGGTGGGGCTCATGGCTGTGCTCCCACCCCGGGTGTAGACATCGGATCTTCCAGGTCTGCCCCGGGCTATGGGTCTGGACAGCACTTTGATGAAGAGAAGACACTCTGTGTCCTGCCGTCTGTGACCCGTGGTGTGACTGTGGGAATGGTGCTGGCGTCTGGCTGCCCCCCTGGGATGGGACCAGCATGTGACTTCTCCCCTCACTCCTCCAGGTCACCTCCAGAGCCCCAGGAGGGCTAGCAGAGCCTCTCGAGCAGATGGCAGCTCATGTTCTGCCCTGCTAGCTGCTCCTCCCTGGGCAACGTTGGCCCCTTGCTGTGGCTCTCCCCGAGGTATGCGATTGCCTCTTAGCTGGGCGCCTGGCCTGGGCTTTCCTTCGGGGCCTGGGCAGCAGCCACAGCGGGGCCCGTGGAGGTGACAGAGTCGCCTCTGTGATGATGAACAGATGGCTGTGACACGCGGAAGGTGACCGCTCCTGAGTTTCCAAGTGCTGCGGTTGGGGCTGGGGCCAGCAAAGCCCCTCCCATATTGCAAGAGCGGGTTTGAGTGTGTCCCAGGAGGACACAGTCGGGAGCCTCCAAAGCTCTACCTGTCCCAGGCCCCGCTCCCCAGCTCCCTCAGCTTGCTCCTGGCGTCCACGGTGGAGTCAGATGTTTCCGGGCACTTTCACCTTTGTACCTTTAATGCATGTTGAGGACTTTAAGGAATTGTGGATAAATAGAGCGATGGGCAGAGCCAGGTGACCACAGGGAACAGTGGCCCACAGAGGCTGCTGACGCCTGCACCCCAGGGGTGTGATTTTGCCTCCTCTGCCTAGGCTTTGGTGGGAGGGGCAGCCTCTGCGGTCTGAGAAACAAAAACATCCAAAACCTTCTTGTAAAATGCCTCAGAAACTCGATGCGTAGGCCAGATAAACACACATGCACAGACATACGTGTGTGCAGACACAACCCAGGCGCACACACACTTGTGAGCCCACGCACACGCTCACAGGAAGCCCGTGGACCCCACACAGGGAAGAAGCTCCGGTTGCCGGTGGACGGCTGTAGCAGGGTACCCCCAGCCCTGCCTGCCTCCCACTGCCCCCCGGACCTGCCTGCCTCCCACTGCCCCCCAGCCCTGCCTGCCTCCCACTGCCCCCC